GCTGCGGCTCCGCTTTTCCCTCTCCCCCTCCATAGCAAGGGCCGATCAGCTGCGCAGGGAGGGAGAGAAGGAAGGGTAGGAACCCAGCTTGCTGGGGGAAGAGGCGGGGGGAGGGGGAAGCTTGCCTGCCCTGCAAGAGGAGATCAGCTGGGGGGGGCGGGGGCGGAGAAGAGCGGGCCAGGCTGGGCAGGATTTTTAGTGGCACGCTGCTGTCTGCCGCGGGGTCCCCGGCAGACAGCAGCGTGCCATTAAAAATTGGCTTGCGTTCCATCTTTGGCACGCGTGCCATAGGTTGCCGACCCCTGGTATACAGCTTTAGGATGATGCTTTTTTGGTTTAATTTAATTAAAATCAAACAGACCATATTATTGCAAAACTAATATCAAGTTGCTAAATGTTCCTGTAATTTTTATTAGTATATTCTAATAATTTATGTTTCCCAACATCCCAGTTTAAACTAGTATTTACCAGCACTTTGTCCTAAAGAAGTTTTTTCCCCCAGGAAATTGCCAATCCTGCTTCCTCCATTGTTTTTCTCTCCAATATGTCACCATCATATTGTCCTTCTTCCAAGTGAAGAGCATAAGATACTGAGCCTGTGAGACCATGGATCAGCTAGGAGCAGATGCTTCATTGGCAGTGAATCTAACACCTTTGCACTGGGGTGCATCCCTGCCACAATACACCTAAATTATTTTTTAATACCAGGACAAATTTTTCTCCATACATGGCAGCAAAGCCTGAAGTCAACAAAGAAGTTGGTAATGAGGTCTCTGAAGATACAAATGTTGCTGTAAGAGGTGTCAACTGATCTAATCCTACCATGCACACATTCTCGGATATGCTCAGATTCAACTAATCCCACATTCTCAGTCAATGCACAGTTCTGAATCCCTGTGCCTTCGCAGCAGTATTGATTTAAAAGAATGCTGGAATACAGTGATATGCCATGGTGAAAATAATGGCCTGTCCTGAAATTTAACATTTTAATATTAATTTTCCCCTCATATAGATCAGATTTGAATTCAAAAGAATCTATTTGGTCATTGACAAACAAAACATAACTCCCATTGAGGTCACTGGGAATTACTTCTATAAACCCATCCCTTACCACAATATTTCGCAAGTTCTCTTTACACTGAACTCCTGTTTAAAGATGATCAGGGAGAAGGACAGGCTTTGTACCGTTTCTTGCTTCTTTGCATAGTCTCACCACCACCACCACCACCTATTCATTTTTACCTTCAAAACAACAAGTCTTGTCTTTTCTGGTTTTGCTGCAGGTCTTCTTGGAGGACCCAGACATGTGGACTGGGAGCCTTCCTAACCCTTAACAGAGTGTTGAATCTTTGACAAAGATATTTTCTTCCAACTGTTAGGCATATGAGTTAAACAGATTTTAACAAAAGCAAATGACAAAACAAAAAGGGTTTTTAAAAAACATTTTGAATAAAAATCCCTTCCCTTTTCAGTTAGCAGTGAAACCTCATTATCTATGTTGTGCAGGAAAAAAGTAAGCCATGACCTGCAATTCTCATGTTAAAGGGGGGAGAGGGGGAGAGGTAGGAGAAGAAGAAAACCCCAAAGTTTCTGCCCTTTATACCTCATAAAGAAGTAAAACGGGGTCCTTTTTTACTTCACAATGAATGGAATTAATAAATGAATTAAAGTAACACATGCTAAGGACTGATCCTTTAAACTTAAAAGTTATTTTCAAACTATGCCATGTGCATGAAATGTCTCCAAAATCCACAGAAGAAAACTATGTACATTCTTCTGTCTTTTCAACCCTGTTTTAATGTATTATTAGTGTTAATATTACAGAGTGCAGAGAAAGATTCCTTAACCTGATACTAGCACATCATAAGTGTAAATCCAGAAAAAGCCACCTGTATTAAGCAGAGTAAATACTCAAAATTGAGCCTCTAAGATGTTTGAAATTATACATTCTGTAAAACACATGTAATAGGAAAAAGTACATAAAGAAACTCCTAGAGAAGTGAACAGACTTCAAGGGAGTTATGCAAAGGATGAATCTGTGCTACTTAACAAGCCTTCAATAGTCACTATTTTAATTTACTGTAGGTTTAACCAAATAAATAATACATCTTCACTTTGATCAAAGACCAAAAGGTTAAAAGAAATGGGCCTAAAAGTGTTCCCACTGAAGTCTAACAACTAAACTTTCACTGACTTTAGTAACAGCAGGACTGAGCCCTTGATTCTGCAGCAATACCAAAGGTAGTTAAAAGTACTTAATAATTGCATGGAAGCCGTACTCAGTCCAATGCAGATGAATTATTATTATTTATAACATTTTAAATGAAGGAATAGTCCTGCATATGTGAACTGCAAAAAAAATATATATTTGGAATAAATGACTATACTATTACTATGTCAATAGCAACTATGTTCATGTTAGTAATGAAAGAAGTATGTCAGTGGTCTGATTTCATTACAGTCAGTGGTACTGCGCCAAAAAGGGAGGGTGGGGGGATTAGGAAGGCAAATTCTGCCAAGATTTACACCTCATACAACCTTGCACAGGGTGCAAGCCAGTGTGGAATCTGGTCTCTCTCATGCTGAAATATTGATGAAAAAAATCACAAATAAGTTGTGGAACTTGGCTTATCCCAAAAAACTTTCTAAGACCAACCAACTGAAATTTCAATTAGGTTGCACTACAGAGTTAACAATGGAAAAACTTAACAGATGGGTAATTATGTTTGATTATTTTTCTGCATTTGGATAGCTCTAACTTACATGTTAGGTTTGGCATGCATACTGGTCTGATTTATAGAACTATTTGCTGGCAAAATCAACGGCCACTTTTGGTCTAAATGGGTGAGGGGGCGATTGTTACACATGTGTCAAATTCATATCACATATAACAGTCAGCCTGCAATCTCAAGATTTGTATTAATCTTTACAAATCATGGGCAGTTTGTCCCCCCTGGTGTTGGCAGATTGGGAAACATGATGGTTTACATCCTATCATAAACTCCAAAATTGGTGCAAATTGAAAGACTGTTAACATGATTTCTATTCATAGTTTATTTCCCCTTTCAATTCCCTACCCCAATATATTCATTTGTATGAAAATGAGTTAAATCTTTCCATAAAAGTAGACTCCAGGAAGAATAGGAATTTGCATGACTCGTTTGAAGATACAACTGATAAAGTTTCAGTAGACAAATATGAAAAGTGGGCCTTCATAACAGATTTCATATCAAGACAGTTTTCAACAAAAGAATCAGACAAATATAATTTATCCAAATTAATTTAACTTTAACTTTATGCAAATATTGTACTTAGATGCCTCACGCTTCAGGCCAAATTCTGGGCTAATATACACCCTAGGTAATTCCACTTCAGACAATGGGATGGCACCTGTATAAACCAGCACAGAATTTTCTCCTGTAACTATTAATGAGCTCTTCTAAGAAGCCTGATAGGGTTTATGTAAACATTTTATCCATAAATGTCGGTAACCATTGATTTTACTATACACACAAACTGACAAAAAATATTTCCATCAATAATAACTGAAATTCACAGACAGGCAAAGTAAGAAAAATGCTGCTTGAGAACTTCTTAGAGTTTGACTTAAGGCTATTTACTTTGTATGTTTTGACATGGGATGATGATAACTTATGTTTTAACTATTACAAAGCATTAGGTTTTTGAATCTCAATGTCTACTGTCATTAAACAATTGTTTGACCCCCACCCCCACCCCAGATTTTGCACAGAGGTTTAGATTGGATATTAGGAAAAACTTTTTCACTAAGAGGGTGGTGAAACACTGGAATGCGTTACCTAGGGAGGTGGTAGAATCTCCTTCCTTAGAGGTTTTTAAGGTCAGGCTTGACAAAGCCCTGGCTGGGATGATTTAACTGGGAATTGGTCCTGCTTCGAGCAGGGGGTTGGACTAGATGACCTCCAGGGGTCCCTTCCAACCCTGATATTCTATGATTCTATGATAAAAATATCAATATTATCCATCAATTACAAAAAAAATAAATAAAAAATTGAATTCTGCCAAGCCTGTCTATGTAGCAGCCAAGGTGTATCAATTTTATCAGTGCATGGATTCCCAACTTTTTCAAGTAATGGGCACATTTTCAATACAAAGTATTATTGGGACAAGAAATATAAAATTTTACTCAGTTTGCCTTATCAGAGCCAAAAATAGTAATAAAAAACTAAGACACTTTCCTCAGTATTTGTCCTATTGTCTCAGGGCCATCACCTCCTAAATTGGAAGGCCTCATGTCAGAAGATGCTATATTTAATTCTAGAGGTTACCATGTTTGACCTCTAAGATTATTTATGTATCTGTGATAAATATTTTATGGTATAAGAAATAGATAAAAATAAAAATGCAATGAAAAATACTAAAAGAGGGAAATTTAAATGATTTAAATGTGTAGTGTTGCTCAACAATTATATTCAACATACAGTAAACCTCAATTCAGCTGGGCTGAGACCTACCTTTCCTTTTTTGGGGAGCAATTAGCTCCCCAAAAGAGGTTTTCCTGTTGAAAATTGACCTCATAAAAAGCAAATTTGTTTTGCATTTTAGGTATTTGCTATACATACTAACACTGTTTTATTTGCTACATGCAATGATCAATTTTTGTTTGTTGGTTTTTGTGATGCACTTGGTGGCATGTTGCTTTGTCTGCATATTCCCATCTATGCAACTTATGATGTTTCTTTTCAACACAGTAAACATTTTCTCTTGTTCTGATTAAATAAACCTCACTGCATGAAGACTGATTTCAGGTTTCTGTTGAAAATATCTAAAAATGAAAAATCCAACTCACAAAGGCTTTCAAAGTGCATTAATCATTATTGTATGGCAAAATCCCCAGAATCCCAAAGGATGTCTATAAAGGTCATATTTCTGAATGTGGTGAGGGTGGGGGAAGAAGGTTAATTCTGATATTCGATAGCATGGGAAACTACTGATTCTTTGCTAAAACAACTAATTCTTACCATTTTTAGACTCTTAAGTCTTGGGACTGCAGTTTCTCTCCGGTACCACAAAGAGAATAATCTACAAATGATTTAAAAAATATCATATCACCATAATTGTCACAAAATTCAAAAGGTTTTGGCTCATTTGATATAATACTGGCTAAATATACGCTTCAGTGGCTCAGATCAAAAAGCATGCAAATTAGTCTAACGACCTGTATTTATATAGCATGCTTCTGTGTGCTTTAGTGGTCTATAGGCTTAAATATAGGACAAAGGAATCCCTGTTACCTGGATTTGCAAAGCCCTGTGCTATTCTTAGCACTCTGCACATCTTTGAAGTGCACCATACTTAATGGTTAACCCACTAGACAAGAGGACAAAAATAGATCATTCTGTACTGAATGTAAAGGTTGTTCATTGTTCCCAGACTTACTACCACCTATAATTGTTTGCAATCTAGACAACAAAAATAAGTCACATTTTCATAAAATGTTATGGTTCAGTGTGGATATTTTTGGAAATAGCATTGCATTACGTAACCCCCTTTTCTCTCTCTCGCAAATACACACACATGCACCCCTACGCACTCCCCCAATTCCTAAACAGGAAAATAATGAATATCTAACATTATACCATTTCATCTCAATTCTACATTTAATTACTGTACTATAATGCAATCCCCACTTTATTTACTATGTACACAGCACAGTTCCTCTATCTCACCGCTGGTGGTAACATTAGTATGTATGGGAAAAAAATTCTTATACTAAGTATATTAAGTTTATACAGAGCATATGCATATATACAATTTAATTAGTCACAACTCATTTACACGCATACATATACATACACACACACAAACACTATATATAAGATTGCAAGTACGCATGTAGATACGTGTATATAAACATTTGCTGAAAAGTAGATCACTAAATCTGCATAAAAACACTTAAAGTGTGGCTGATTTTTTGTAATTGCTGCACATGCAAAAATGCCTAAGGTTGCTGCAAGAAGAATGACTGCTCTCTAAAAATATAACCCGGCAGCTAGAGAGGAATCCACAGCCAGGGCGGCGAAAAGGGAAATTCATTTTACAAGCGGGAGAAAATGCCACCCGAGAGTCGTGCATGTATGCTAGCAAAGCAAAGTGCTGTCGATTTAAAAAAATGCATTTTTGTGGCTGATTGCAAAAATGGGAGGGAATAACAGCTTCAGAAAACCCCTGCATATTTTCTCCATTAGTGCATAAAAATCCCAAACTCAAAAATCCAGCCTTAAAGCAGAAATAGTTAAGCAAATATGTATACTGCACGTTTCTCTTCTTTAAGAAAGCCTATTTTGAAATGTACAGCTGGGGGTGAAGAGGGGGGGAGGCAAGTGAATTTGCTGCAGCAGAGTCCAGCCAAGGGCAAAAAGAAATGAAAAGAAACAAAGAAAAGAGAGGGCGGGGATGCAAATCTCTCCGAGCTGTGGACTGGAATTGCATATACTTACAGACAAAAGCCCCTGCTCCCTTTCTGTCCTTTCTACATGATCTGAAACACAAATGTGGATTAAAAAGAGGGCAGCATGCTCCAGAAGGGAATTTATAGTTGGGGCGGGGGGAGTGGGTAGGGTTGGGGGTGTGGGGAAAGAATGACTGCACCTCTTCCAAAGTGCAGCAGCCTTGGAGGAAAAAAGAAAAGGGGTGGGGGCGGCTGGGAGAAAAGTCTCTCTCTCTCCCGCTCTCCCAGGCTAGGGTTTGGTTGCCTGTGCTGGTTCTATTGAACAATGAGCTAATTCTGATGGTGGCTGGCTGGCTGCCAGCTCTCCCCCTCCTCCCCTCGTTACACACACACACACACACTCTCTCCCTCTTCTCCCCCCTCCCCCCCTCCGCTTTGCTGCTGCAGAGCCAGACTGCTTAGTCTGCAATAATGCTCAACTCAAAGTCCCCCCGCTGTCTAGCAGCCAGAGAGCCAGGCGACCAATCACCGCGCGGAGCGCAGGCAACCCGGCGGCAGCCGCCTCGCTGGAGGGAGGGGGGAGGGGCTCGGCGCGGCTCGGCTCGCCCCTCTTCCCTTCGGCGGTGCTGCCGGCCCTGCTGCCTGGGCCTGAGCGCCGAGCTGGGGAGAAGCGAGCAGCCATTGGCGCGCGCCGCCGTCGGTCAAACCTCCCCCCTTCCCCCGCAGAGCGGCTGCTGCTTTCCAGACAAATAATCCGGGGCCGGGCTGGTGGGGTGCCAGGCGGGGAGGCTGGCCAAGGAGCTGCACAGCCGCGGCGCCCTGCCAGCCCCAGCGCGCGGGAGGCGGGAGGGAGCGAGCGGCCCCGCGCTGTAATAATAAACCTGCAGCGGTAGCAAAGGGCATCTGAGGGGAAGGGGCGGGAGCCAGAGCTGCCGCCGCCGCCGCCGCTTTGCTTCTCCTGTGCCTGGCTGAGAGGGGAGAGAAAATGGTGCGCGGGGAGGAGCGGAGGAGACACGGGCCAGGGACACGCTGCGCCCGGGGCCCAGCGACCAACGCAGCGGCCCAGGGCGCCCCAGGCACCGCTCACAGCCCGGGGGAAACACCGAGACAGCGCGCACCCCCTCCCGGGAGACCCAGCGTCACCCCGGCACGGATGCAGACCGCAGTGCCGCCCAGGGACAAAGAGCCAGGCAGGGCAGGGGGAGAGCAGGAGTGGGGCGAGCACAGCTCCCTCTCCTGTCCCCGAGCAGTGATCTGGCACCGTGGCTCCTGCTCAGAGGGGCAAGATAGGCGCGCCCCTTCCTATTTCAGCCTGGTTTAACCAAACACCAGGACACAAAGACAGTCAGGCGTATCAGAAACACACACAGGCAGCACAACAACATAAAACACAGTGCAGTGACACACACTGCTGCAACACAGAGGAAGGACAGTCAATGGCATGGAAATACAGACAAACAGTGACACACAAATACAGAGCTCGGGCACAGACGCACCATTGAGACAGCATTGTGGCATAAAGAGACATAGCACAGCGATGCATCACGCAGTTCTGTGTTTGTGCAGCACCCAACAATGGGGTCCTGGTCCATGTCTAGGGCTCCAAGCCACTACTGCAATATAAATAATGATATTTTTACAAAGTGACAGAAATACATAGCCCTGTGACGTACAGTGACACAAAGACAGCAGCATGCCATACAACACTGGGACACAAAAGACAACACAAAGACACACTTGCACCAGAAGGGCACAAGGATAACAGGGAATCACAGACACAGCACATTGATATAAAGAGACATAGATAGCTCAGCACCACACAGTGACAGAGAGATACATAGCACAGACACACTACAAAAGTATAAAGAAACAAACACGGGCTGTCTGATTCTCTATTGCGCTACAGCAGGTGTAGTCATTTACACTAGTGTGCAAAGTAGATGTAAAGATTAGTAAATGAGAAAGTAGCATTTGCCACTCACTTTGGTGTGACTACACATGGTACAGGACAACAGCTATTGGATACTCTGGCTAGAACTTAGGCCATGCCTATTCACAAAAGTTGCACCTGTTTAAAATAACTTTTCAAATCCAACTTACTCTAAATCAAATTTTAAAATTTTATTAAAGCTAATGTTAAAATATATAATATTAAGGTTATATAATATACGGTTAAGGAAAGAGTGTCCATACAGAGGTTTGCATTGGTTACTAGGATAAGCTGCAAAGCAATGTTTTACACTCAGCTTTGTGGCATTTCTCTGGTTGTCTGTTTCCGATCAATTCCAAAAATTCAGGGAATGTTCTGGGCATCAGTGGTCAAACCCTATTGATTTTGGTGAAAACTGGAAGGGAAAAAATGGGAGCCCTTTAGAGCTGGTTAGCAGAGCCAGCAGGTTCAGTCACCTTTGTAATTCTCTGTAGATCAAAGAACCAGTTGGTAACAGCCATTAACACCTTCCCACATAACACCCGCCCTGCCCATCTTGGCTCTGCTCTTCCTCCCAAAATATACTTTGAAAATGTTGGCACCCAGAATGGCTTATCTCCTAAACAGAAAGAAAAGAAACAAGATTTTTGTGGGAGTGGGTTTGAGGGAGGGGGAATGAGGCCTCACATGGAGCCCCTGGCATGGGAGGGAGAATGGGGACTCGTGTCGTGGGAGGAAGGGGAGCACCCAGAGCCCCTGGTATGGGGAAAATAGGGAATGGGGAGGGACTGAACCACTGGGAGGGAATAATGGGGGGCCATGGTATGTGGAGAAGGGCAAAATGGAGAGCACAGTGAGCCTCTGGCAAGTGAGGGGAGAAGGGAGAGCAATGTTAAGAGTGGAGGCAAACATGGGGATGCACAGAGCCTCTGCTATGAGGTGGAGGGAAATGGGGGTCACACAGAGCTCCTTCCGGGGGTTAACATTTGAATGGAGGACACGTAAAGCCCCTGGCATGGCAGGGGGTGGGGGGGTAGCACACACTTATCTTGTGGGGAGAGGGGAAATGTATGACACAAAGTCCCTAGAGCAGGGGTGGGTAAACTGTGGCCCACGGGCCGCATCATGCCCACCAGCCATTTTAATCTGGGGCTTCCCCCGCTCCAGCGCTCCAGCTGGGGAGGAGGGTTGGGGGCTGCTCCGTGTGGCTCCCAGAAGCAGTGGCATGTCCCCGCTCTGGCTCATATGCATAGGGGCAGCTAGGGGGCTCCGCTCTGCATGCCACTTCTGCCCCAAGCGCTGCCCCCACAGCTCCCATTGGCCAGGAACTGTGGCGGCAGGAGCGGCGCCTCGCGTAGGAGCTGGAGCGGGGACATGCTGCTGCTTCCAGGAGCTGCTTGAGGTAATCGCTGCCCGGAGCCTGCACCTCCGAGCCACCCCCTGCGCCACAACCCTCTGCCCTAGATCTGATCCCCCTCCAACTCTCCAAACCCCTCGGTCCCAAACCAGAGCACCCTCCTAGACCCCAAACCCCTCATCCCCAGCCCCACCCCAGAGCCTGCACCCCCTGCCGGAGACCTCATCCCCACCCCACACTGCACCCCCTCTGCCCCAGCCTGGAGCCCCCTCCCACACCCTGAACCCCTCATTTTTGGCCCCACCCCGGAGCCCACACTACCAGCTAGAGCCCTCGCCCCTCCCTCTCCCCAACCCCAATTTTGTGAGCATTCATGGCCTGCCGTACAATTTCTATACCCAAATGTGGCCCTTGGGCCAAAAAGTTTGCCCACCCCTTCCCTAGAATGTACAATATACTCGGCCTACTGAAGCAACAAAGTGTGTGACCCTCTTGTTACATCAATTTAAAAACCATCTTTAATTAAACCTTTGCAACTTTTGTATGTGATAAGGAATTATATGGCCCTTGTTACTATAATATTTGCATGCACACATACCATAGAGCCACAGCACAGCAACAAAAATACAC